TGACCACGTGGAGAGACCGCTTGCTGGTGTTTGAGACATGGCTGAAACACTGAACATGTGAGTAAAAGCCTCTGGTTGACTCTAGCCCCAGATAGAGAGGAATATCGGCCAGACACCACCTCTGCCCGTCTCATTCCTGGTCCATAGAATCTGTAGCCCTAAGAAGCTCTCTGTGGCAGACTCCCTTGGTTAAGTACTGAGCTGAACTCAAGAAAGCCAGTAACAGAGAGGGAGGACTGATGATCAAAGGGATTAAGACTGGGCTGGTTTAACCCCCAGAAACAGCTGACCAGACAAAGTTAACTCTTGAATCCCAGGCATTAGCCTGGGAATCCAGCATGGGACTGATCAAGACCCCCTGAATCTGGGTGTCAGTGAGGAGGCCTAGGGAATCTATTGAGCCTTGGGCAGCAGATCAGTACCCATCTCAAGTATACACACGGACTCCCATCCAACAATGTGAGGTGCACTCTCACCCTGAACTCTTGGGGAAGGGTCTAGGCCCTGCCCTATATGAAATGACAGACTATGGACACCCCCATGGAGGGCCTCACCCTCCCTGGGGGAATGAGGGGATAACGGGGGGGGGGGGGTTGGGGGGAGGGCACGGGAGGAGGGGAGGGAATGGGAGAGGGACCTGGAACTGACTTGTGAAGCAACCTTGTTTCTTATCTAAATTTAAACTGGAAAATAAAATATAAAAATAAAATAAAATAAAATGAAGAACAAAAAAAAAAAGAAGCTCTCTGTGGAGCACTCACTTCTGGTTATGCAGCAGAAGCATCTGGAGCAGATTCTGAGATAAGGATACACAGAATTTGCATTTGTATGGAGTAAAGGGAGAGCCTTATAACAGTTCCAGGCTAGAGATTTAAGTTCCTTAGTTACCAGTGGCAGGCTGATAGTTGGAGAGCGCCCGAGTGCATGAAGGAGAAGAGGGGAGGAGACGTTAGATATCCGAAGTTGTTCCGGGTAGGTGTGAGAGAACTCGCAAGCTAACTCTGAAGGGGTCTTGTCTTGGTGCATGGTGTTACAAGGGCGCTGTGGAACCACCCAAGCGGGAAGAAGGAGCATTTTCTCTGGGAGTCTGGAACCCTACTTCCCTTGCAGCTGTGGAGGCACGAGACCCAGTGACACAAGTGCTGTGGCCTTGGGAGCTTCTCTGATGTTAGTGATGCTGGGGGGGGCTGGGTCTGTGATACACAAAATGTTTTTCCTCAAACAGGACAGGCTTATCTTTGATGGCACCTTTAAATGATTGAAGTCTGGGCAAAGGCAAAGAGTCTCCATGCCCTGGGTTGTGTTGTCCCCTTTTCAATCCCTGAGCTCCATTGTCCCTCCCTCCTTTATTTTTTCCCCCTAAGAGCTGTAGGCAGACCCTGTTATATCTTTCCTGTCCTTGCACACTGAAGGTTCCAAAGCCATCTTTCATCAGGTTCGAATGCATCAAGTATCATACCCTGGCCTTGCGTGCCTTCCCCATGCCCAAAGCAATGGAAACAGGGAAAACAAGCTCCACCGATAGGAGGTTCCTGGGGTAGAGTCCATCCCTTTTGTCTTTCTCCCTGGCAGACACAGGGACTCTCAGAGGATGGGTCAAGTTAGCATTACAGGTCTGGGACCTTCTCAGAAATCAGATTCTGTGATGCTTCATTGCTTAGAGGCGGCAAGTGCAGTGGTGGTGTGGACCACCCTTAACTTCAGGAGGCTGCTCCGGCTTCCTTTGTGGCTGTGACTAACAGACAGTAGGAGGGAGTGTGCTGCGAACCCCGTTTCCAGGGTTACCTTCTTGCTACCGATAACAGGCAGGAAATTAAAACAATCTGTGATAAAGCTTTGTTCTTATTATCCACAGATGGCAGCTTTCAGATATGTGGGAGTAAAACATAAGTAAATATAGCTGGGAAACTTCATTATTGAAGAAAAATGACTTGGTGTGGTCAAGTTGATAGCCTGGGTTCTTTTTAATGAAATGGGACATAGGCAGCATACTAGGGTCTCAGTTCTACACAAAGCATTAGGCCTTATGGGGACAACTAGGTTTCTTCTTGGTTTGATTCTGAGTATATAAATGTTTATATGAGCTCAAAGTCAAAGCTGCATGACATGGGCTGGAGAGACGGCTCAGTGGTTAAGAGCATTTGCTGCTCTTCCACAGGACCCGAGTTCAGTTCCCAGCACTTCCTACTCTAGTTCCAGGGGATCCAGTACCCTCTTGTGTACTCCACAGGCACCTGCACTGACATGTTCAACAGCCCACCCCATACACACAATGAACTCATGTTCAACAGCCCACCCCATACACACAATGAACTCATGTTCAACAGCCCACCCCATACACACAATGAACTCATGTTCAACAGCCCACCCCATACACACAATTAACTTAAAAAAATCCTTAAATATACAGAGTATATTTCTCTTTTTTTTTGGTGTTTTCGAGACAGGGTTTCTCTGTGTAGTTTTGGAGGTTGTCCTGGCACTCGCTCTGTAGATCAGGCTGGCCTCGAACTCACAGAGATCCGCCTGCCTCTGCCTCCCGAGTGCTGGGATTAACAGAGTATATTTCAAAACAGTTTATTTTCAACTGTTTCCCTTTTTTCTTATTTGTAACCCTTTATAAGTAATTGTTTTATTAGCTTTGTGATTTAGACTTCTACTGTTTCTTTTGGGGGACAAGCATATTCATATGTTACACATGGAAAAAATTAAGTGAACTTTATTAAGGTACAACCAATACCTCCCAATTCTACAGAAGATGTGAATTGGGAAACACACACACACACACACACACACACACACACATATATATATATTTACATATATAGTTATCTAGCCACTAGGACAACAATATGGGCCTTGTCTACACCCCAAAAAGTTTCTTTCTGTCATTTTGAAGCCAAATCCTTTCTCACTTCTCTGCCTCCTCTCTGCTACTATGCTTTAGCCTTTCCTAGAATTTCATTCCTAGGACAGTCATGTCTCACTGTGCAGTGTCTTCAGACTACACACAACTGAACTGGAGGGACTAGCTAGCTCATGACGAGGAGACACAGCCTCTCAGACCACAACTGCATATGTCATCTGCCGTTGGCTGAAGGCTGCTGTGCAGAGCACAAGAGTAGCCTTTCTCATTTCCTCCGGACTTTATGCCATCAGAGACTCGGCATATTGTTACCCAGGTAGTTCATTGTGTTTTCACTGAGTCATACTCCATTGTTTATGCATTGCAGTTGTTGGATGTCTTTTTTTAAATTTTGAAGTAATTTTAGATTTCAGACAAAATCACAAAGATGGTTCAGAGAGTTTTCATATACCATTTGACCAGCTTCTACCAAAAAAAGTCTTACATGCCCACAGTATAATTACTAACACTTAGGAAGTCAATGTTGGTATACTGCAGTTAACTACATATTTAATTCAAGTTCTGATTTTAGTTTTGTTTTTTCCAGACAGAGTTTCTCTGTATTGTTTTGGAGGCTGTCCTGGAACTCACTCTGTAGACCAGGCTGGCCTCAAACTCACAGAGATCCACCTGCCTCTGCCTCCCGAATGCTGGGATTAAAGGCGTGCGCCACCAATGGCCAGCCTGATTTTAGTTTTAATTGCACTTAACTATTGTATTTCGCTAATCTCCTCAACTCTGAAAACTTCACTGTTTTTTTATGTTTATTTTTATGACCTTAATGATTTTTTCCAAAGGAATAAATACTCTTTGAGCTGTACCTGATGGTGGACTCCTATCATCCCAGCTATTCGGGAAGCCAAGCTGTGAGCCGGGAGGATTAGCCTAGGTAATTTAGTGAGACCTTGCTTTGAGAAAAAGAAAGAAGAAACCTCTATTTAAAGTGATCTTACAGCGTAGCATAGTCCTCAGTTTTAATACTACACAGGTGATATCCAATATCACTGTGTTCTAGAAATGACTCAGCTGCCCAGGTCTGCCAGGTTTCTCCACTGAAAGATGCTGTCTCCCCCATGGTGTGCTTTGCTTAAGATCCAATAGCCAGCTGGTGACAGAACCAGACTCCAACTTAGCCTAACTTAAGGCTGACTCTTATATGTGCTATGTAGTTGTGAGAACTTTGAAGATTTCCTTTGCCAGAGAAAATGGATGCTTGAAATCCCATGATTTTCTTTTGTTCATTCAGAAACAATGTTTTGTTGTCAGTCTCAGTCATATTTCTCATGTGACTAAATATTCTAGTGAGCTGTATGTGGCTTTATCATGATATTAAACTCTTGGAGAATTCAGAGTACTTCCGGGAATACCAAGGGGCTATATTTAAACTGCTTTCAGAAACAACCAAAGGTTAGGGCAGAGTGTTCTGCATAGGAGACGACTAGCAGAGAAGGAATATTTGCTTAGATAATGACAGAGAGCTTGCCCCTGCCCTGTGCTGTGCTGTTCTGTGTGTTTAAACCCTACACACATCCATTCCTGCTGGCCACACTGGTGACTCTCCTACCACACATTCCCAGGCGACTCCAAATACATGAGCCCAGTGACTTACACATGACTCAGTAGCAGAGCCCCTGAAGGTCAGGCAGTGGGGTGGGCGTTTGCACAGCTCTGACTCATGGTCTGCCTGTCTAAGGGAGAAACAGCTGTGGGTGGCTGCAAAGACATGCTCCTCTCCCCACACCCATCTCAATTTACCGTGTGGATTGGGTATTCCCAGATCTTTGAAGTTGCACACTGGCTGTCTTGGTGTTATCTGTTCTGCCAAGCTGTGAGAGCAGAAACAGCCATTACTTTGTCATACCTCTCTCCCCTTCCTCCAGCTCATGATACAAATATATTTTGAAGTCAACATTACTCATAAAATATTGTCCCAAGGATTTTTATATCAGTTAAAGAAAAAGACTGCTCACTTAGGAGGGAAATTCAACTAATTTCATTTTTATTTTCTTAATGTTTTAGTGAGGGTTTAAAAATATTTACTGTCTTTTGTATTTAACCAAGCTGGCTTTTCTCTTTTGTGTTCTCCTGATTTCAGATGTCCTGAATGACGCTATATTTGATGAGGATCATGATGAGATGGTGATTGTAAAGGACATTGATATGTTTTCCATGTGTGAACATCACCTCGTTCCTTTTGTGGGAAGGGTAAGGTTCTTCTTGTTGCCTAGTAATTTAAGAATGTATAATGAAAGTCTTAAATTAGGATAATGATATTTAAAACTGTCAACTGATCCTTAATATTCTTTATTTACAGTTTACACAAGCATTTTTTTTTACTCTATCAATTTTGGCTAACCTAATAATTGGAAATTTAAGCTGGGCTGTGGGAGGCTGCACTCAGGAGGCAGAGGCAGGTGGATTTCTGTGAGTTTGAGGCCAGCCTGGTCTACAGAGTAAGTTCTGGGACAGCTAGGGCTACATGGAGAGACCCTGTCTTGAAAAATAATTTTTAAAAAGGAAATTTAAAAAGAACCAGCCAGGAGTGGTGGTATGTGCCTATAACCTCAGCGCTCATGAGGTAGAGGCAGGAGGATAGAGTGTTTGAGGCCAGCCTGTGTTGCACAGAGAGACCTTGCCTCAAAAACAAACAGAACAGAAAGAAACCAAAGATGATCAGAACCAGCCTTTTGTCTTTGATGCTGTGTTAGGAGGCTGGGATGATGAAGTTAAAATTTAACCATTTAGGGGTGGTCGCTGAAGCTCTGAAAAGTGTGTTGTATTTTGAGTGAACTGTTTGAACCGAGATTCATGCGTGCAGAGTGTGACATCATGACATGAACCGGTGTAACTGCAAAGTTTCTAAAGGCAGAGGTTATGGTATTAGTGGCTTTAATTAGATTCTATCCCTTTTACAGCAGGAAAAGAGAATCCAATGCAAGCTAGATAGTAGTAAGTCATGTAGTTGTTATTCAATGCACCACTGAGATCATGTATGTTTACAACAAAGAGATGTCCTGTTGTGTTCACTATCATAATAGTTTAATTCTATTTTGACTTCTTGTTATTAATTTTCCAACAGAAGACTTGTAGGGAATAATATAAATATTTACCTATTATCTAAAGTTAATAATCTGCTTCACTTTTTTGTTAAACTATTTTGTTTTGCTTTCTTATGGTTGTAAAACATAGAAATAGCACAACACACAGAGATGTGTTTATTTACATTATTATACATTATTGCTTTGTACAAACTGCACTTCAGTGCTTGGTAGACGCTTGTGTGTTCTTTTCTTGCAATTAAAAACAATATGGTTGCCAACTTTCATTTGGTGCACATACGCATACGTTTTTGTTAGGGATGTATCTAGGAGTAAGACTGTAGGACCATAAGTGTGTTGTGGGGTATTTGATAGCACTGGGATACCCTAAGACTGTGCTAATAAAGTTAACCTTGAATTGGGGATGGAGCCAGGTACTAGTTGACAAGAATCAGTCATAGAGTATATGGAGGACCCAGGATATGTATAGAGAGGCACAGGAAGGAATAGGGAGGGACTTGGAGATTCACAGGCTTTTGGACTTCCTCTTCAATCTGGGAAGTGTAGAGAGAAGGTCAGCTGGTCACTCTTCCACCATTTCTTTGATCTGTCAGGTTCACCCCCAATATCTGACTCCTTAGTCTTTGTTGATAATAAGTGTGTCCTTGTTCAACTTACTCCCTGTTGATCTTTGGCTCTGCAAAGTGGTTGTACCAGTTTGCTCTCCAAGGAGCATGTGGAAGTTATCAATATTTAATATTCTAACAGCACTTGGTACTTTCCTCTGAAGTATAGTATTCAGTACAGTCTCCATCCATCTGTCTGTCCATCCTATCTATCTATCTATCTATCTATCTATCTATCTATCTATCTATCTACCTATCTATCTATCTATCTACTATCTATCTATCTATCTAATCTATCTTATCTATCTGTCATATCTATATCTATCTATCTATCATCTCTGAACACTTTTATAAGAAAAAAATTGAACATATGTAATAGCAGAAAGACAAGTATTATGGAGTTCCATGTTCCCATCAACCAGCACCAGCAGTTTATCAATATAGGATCAATCATATTATACATAGCCACTTAATGGTACTATAGTAAGGCCAATCCCAGATCTTATTTCTTCCATAATATCTTCTAGTATGTTTCATAACAGATAAGGATGAATAAATCTTGGTAAGTTAGCAATTGGTCTTTCACCATATTAATGACTGCAGCATTCTTTATGCATAGTACTACTTATAATTAATTGGCATTTCTGAAATATTTACCAAGTCATGCTAAACAACTAATATTTATCTCTAAAATATTTTCTTACTCACAAACCACTACAGAAATCAACAGTAAGTATGTCCTAAGTAGCATTAGTAACCCATGTCTAAGTTTTTCCATTTGTTTCAGAAAATTTTTAGTGTTGGTCTGTCTGAAGAAGGATCCAGGTGATAGTCACATTAGACCATTAGACTTAGCGGTAGAATGCTTGCCTGGCGTAGACAAGGGCCTATGTTCAATCCTCAGTGCTGAAAGAAGACGAGAGAACCCTGTTGGTCTTTACCCTGCACTTGGTGTGTCTTCTGAGTGTTGTTTATTTTGTAATACCTCCATATCCTCCTATTGAAGAGCCAAGGCTGATTATTCTACAGAGTGCCCAACCCTCTGGATTTGTTCACACAACCCCGGGATTGCCTATAAACTAGATTAGGTTTGTAGTATTAGGCTGAACATTTCTGACCTAAGTAGTTCACAGACTGCTGAAGACTTAATATTATCTCACACCAGGAGGCATGCGATGTCTGGCCATCCACAGGTAATGTTGAGGGCACCCTTTTGCTTACCCTTGCCTTATTTTGTGGTGAGAAGTCTAGTGTCTTGTCCAAGCTGACTGGGACAGACTCAGGGCACTCGGTGCTGTTCTCAAGTCTTCACTGCTTACCCTGTTGCCTTCCATGATGACCCCATGCTGGTGCACTGTGCTTTCTTCCTTCTGTCCACCAGGAAGGCAGTTCTCAAACTTTTATAGCATAGTGCTAAGTACTGCTGCTACTACATGGATTCTGTGAATGTATGGTCAGTATTATGTGAACACGTGAAAACTGGTCCATGCTGGCATTTAGCATGCAGTAGTATTGGAAGCTTAAATTTGGTCGACCGCCAACAAATGGCCCCTTACTTTATTAGTCCTTTTTTTGTTTTGTTTTGTTTTTTTGAGACAGAATTTCTCTGTATTGTTTTGGAGGCTGTCCTGGAACTCACTCTGTAGACCAGGCTGGCCTCCAACTCGCAGAGATCCGCCTGCCTCTGCCTCCTGAGTGCTGGGATTAAAGGCGTGCGCCACCAACTCCCAGCTCCTTTATTAGTCCTTTTAGAGGTATGTTTTCTCATAATTTAAGTCTTGTCTCAAAAGGTGGTAAGATTTACACTGTAGATATTCATCCACTGATACATTTTAATATGCCAGTGTTCCAGTACTTGGGAGGCAGAGGCAGGTGGATCTCCCGTTTGAGGTCAGCCTGGTCTACAGCATGAGTTCCAGAATAGCCAGGGCTAACCAGAGAAGTCCTGTCTCAAAACAACAACAACAAAACAAAGAACCTGGGTCACAGGTTCATTTTCTTTAAGAGCTGCCATTTGTGACCTTTTCCTTCTGTGTCCCCTTTCTTCTGCCAGGATGATGGAGTTCTCCGGCAGCTTAGGAGGGACAACTAAGAGTAAAAGGACAGGAACATTGTGTGGCAGGGCTCAGGGATGGGATTCTTAAGGTTATGTGACACTCGTAATAGCAACATTTATATATAGTTTCTGCAATTTAAAGGAGTCTCTTCTGATTATACCTTGATATTATAGGGTCATTTTCTTCCTTTTTTGAGTGTCTTTTTCCTAGATAGAGGAAAAACTTTCAGATTTGAATCGAGAACTGAACTTTGCCAGGAACATTACAACTTTACTCTTGCCATTTCAGCAGCAAGTCTGTTCTTATATGGTTTTTATTGTCTTCTACGGTCTATACATAATTTGAAAATATGTACGGAACTGCTTCACAAGTTTTAAACGTGTGTTGTCACAGTGATAAACTTACATATGAATACACTATGGTCTTCCTATATCCATTTGTGTTGTTACAAAGAAGTGTTAGCTAATAATTTCTCGTTTCCCTGAAGGTCCACATCGGCTACCTTCCCAACAAGCAAGTCCTTGGCCTCAGCAAACTTGCCAGGTAAGAATGAGCTTTATGGAATTGTTCCTATCTGCTGAGACCCTCAAGATTTTTTTACCTCCACTCTGTGGATATAACTTAGAAATTATGTTGTAATCTAAAAATATGTACTAGCAGCTGGGTAGTGGTGGTGCATGCCTTTACTTCCAGTACTCGGGAGGCAGAAACAGGTGGATCTCTGTGAGTTTGAGGTCAGTCTGGTCTACAGAGAGAGTTCCGGGACAGCCTCCAAAGCTACAGAGAAATCCTGTCCTGAAAAAAAAGAAAAGAAAAGAAAAACAAAAGAAACAAAAAGCCCACAAAAGTCTGTACTTGCACAGGCAACCCTACTTTCAAGATCAGAAACACTGTGTCTCTTCCTGTTTCAAGGCCTGTTCCTCTCTCCCCCAGCCCACCACTGACACATGAACTCACAAATCTGTAGAGATTTCCCCAACTGGAAAAGATCCAAGATTACCCCCAGTCTGGCCCTGGGTCTTAAGGGGAGGTTAGTTAAAAAGGAGGGGAAGAAACATGTGCATGGGTCTAACTGCACTGCCTTTATATGGTGGTCAGGGAATAGAAGAACATTTGTATATGTGGAGAACAGTGCCAAAAGAACTGTAGGAAATACTTTTGTGTTTATATAAGTCATGTAGGCAAAGCACAGATCCAGAAGATTGAATTTGGTTTCAAACCCTTCCATAATAAGGCCTAGTCTTATGAAGACATGTCACATGCTTCTTACATTCAGTGAATGCAAGTAGAGGTTTTAGATTGTCTCATTGTTCAAGATTTTCTGCCATTTTATGTTCACAAATTGAACAGAAACAAGTAGAAACCACATCATGTTAGTGAGTTTTCTCCATTCTCATGGTGCTTGAAAGGGCTTGTGGTTATGCAGCCTTCATATGTTCTTTATTGGGGTTTCCCTCCAATATGAATCCTTCATGTTATCAAACAGATCTGGATTGATTGATGCTTTTCAACATTGCTTACACAGATAAGTTTTCTCTCTAGTGTGTGTGTGTTCATGTTTGCGAGGGTACAAAAAGGAACGAAAAAGTGAAGGATTTCCCACATTGTTGTACAATAAGGTTTTTCTGCACTGCCCACTCAATGTATGTGTTGGAAAGTTACTCATAAAAACATTCATAGGATTTCTGTCAACTGTGAACCCTTTCATGTGTGTGAAAGAACTGAACAAGTGAGGGATTTCCCTTTTGTTTACATAATGGGTTTCTCTCTAGTACGAGGTCTACTGTGTCATAGGAAGAAATAGAACCAGTGAAGGTTTTCCCACATTCCTTAGATACATGGTATTTCTGTCTGATGTGAATCGTTTTGTGTTTCAGAAAGCACTGAGGAGAACTGAGGGTTTCCCATCCTCCTTACATTTCTGTCTTCTCTCCGTATTCCTGATATCCCTGGATCTGAACTCCAGTGGGCATACTTAGGGATGAATGGCCACGTGGGACTTTTGTACTCGTATTGTCCCTGCGTGGTCTTACACGAGGAGGAGTTTTCTTATTTACTGTGTGGTCTGGAGACCAGGTAAAGGTTTCTGTGTATGAACCACCTTTTTTGTGTTCTGACTCTCTGTATCACTTCACTTTGTAGCTTTCTTTTAGAGTTTTTTTTTTCTAATAGTATTCACAGTGTTCTGGCCTTTCCATTATTTTCTGTCTCCAAGCGTTTAGAGAGTTGTGGTATTTTAACCAGGACTCTTGGAGGTCTCACAGCAATGGGAGACAAGCCCCTTGGGGGCTCTCTTAGCATGTGAGATATGTGTGTATGTTTAACTTTTGACAAATCTGTGTGTGTGGCTCTGGATTCCACTCGCTGTTCTTTGCACCTGTGATGTGTGTGTGTTTTTCAGGCTCCTGCACTGGAGTCCTCGTGTGTTTATTTATCAGGCTCCTGCACGCGAGTCCGTTCACTTCCAGGTCACTTGCCTCTGCAGATACAGGGCAAATCACCCTTTACTTTGCTTACTCTCATCTCTTTTCCTTACATGTTCATGAGTTCAAAAAATCATTTTTGAGCTGGGCATGATGGCACACATTTTTAATCCCACCACTCAGGAGACAGAGGCAGGCGGATCTCCGTGAATTCAAGGCTAGCCTGGTCTGCAGAGTGAGTTTTAGGACAGCTGGGGCTATGTAGAGAGACCCTGGTTCAAATAATAAAACAAAGCAATAACAAAAAAATTGCTCCCACTTTTATTTGGGATTTGGGGAGAAGAGGTGATGTGTATACATAGCAATTTGTGTTTAACTTGGAATTAATGTAAGAGTCTATGTTCATATATTTCTGTTAGGTCCTATCCACCAGTGTTTTATTGCTTCTAAATGTCCTCTAATGTTATAATGGAGTTAGTAAATCTTGGGTTATCTGGGGAAATACTGGGAGGTGTGTGTGTGTGTGTGTGTGTGTGTGTGTGTGTGTGTGTGTGTGTGTAGAACCAAATGAAGGGGTAGGTAATGAATGTGTAGTCATTGCATTTAAAGCTAAGTTTGAATCACTTGATTGAGGTTACAGTGACCTCAGTCCCAGTTGGAACAAGTGAATCTCTGCGGCTGACTGTTCTGTGGCTTGGATGGGTTATAGTGAGATTTGCGGTAGTCCTCATCTTTTTCGGAGTCTGTCTAAACCTGTGGAGTTTGAATGAGAATGCCTCCCGTAGGCTCATGTGTCTGAACAGTGGGTTCTCAGCTATTGGCACTGTTTGGGGATCTCGGATGTCTGACCTTGGTGAAGGAAGTATGTCAATGGGGGTGGTCTTTGAGGTTTCAAAAGCTTCATGCCGTTCCAGTTTTCTCTCTGTGCTTAGTGCTTTTAGTTTAGAATGTGAGCTCTCAGATTGCTGTTCCAGGCTCTGTGTCTGCCTGCTGCCATGCCTCCCCACCAAGATGGCAATGGATTCCTATTCCTCTGGATCCATAAGCCCAGATAAACTCCTGCCTTTATAAGTTGGCATGGTCATGATGTTTTATCACAGCAACAGAAAATAGTAGTCTTTCCCCAGTTACTTCCAAATAATATTAAAAACAAATTTATATATATATCAGCTGTGAGTAATAGTACCGTCAGCATGCTTATTGTACACAGTCATAGGTCTAACATTCTGGTATTCTCTTTTTCATTAAGAATGCAAATTCTAGCCAGGCGGTGGTGGCGCACGCCTTTAATCCCAGCACTCGAGAGGCAGAGGTAGGCGGATCTCTGTTAATTCGAGGCCGGGCTAGACCGATAGCCTCCAAAACAATACAGAGAAACCCTGTCTCTTAAAAAAAAAAAAAGAATGCAAACTCTATACTTTTATCATGGAAATTCTGGCACTGTTGAAACTGTAACAGACTGTTTATATGGGCAAGATGGAGTTGGGATGACTTCCATACTAAAAATTCATGGAGAACTATAAGCTTACATGTGCTCTTTTTATTTCCTTCTCTTTGGTTCTGAGGATCAAGCCCAGGGCTCCATTCAGTCTAGGCAAGTGAGTGGCCCCGCCACTGAGACATACTCCCAGACCCCTGAAGACCATCCCCCGCTGATCATGACCAGCAGTATGAGCAATGGCTTCTAGGGTGATCCAGTAGGGTCATGGAATCAATGATGACTCAGAGGCATAGGAGGGCAGTCTTGATTCTGTCCTTTCCTGGTGAAAAGATGGTGAGCAGTTAAACCTTCCATGAAGCAATACAAACAAGCTGATAGTTCAAGTGAGGATTTGCCGTTGTGCTAATAAGATTAACACTTAGGAATAAAAGAGAGCACCAAACCAAGGCACTGAATATGTGTTACTTTCACATTTTATAAAAATTGAAAGAAAGGGTCTGTTAAACAGAAAAGTCAACTGAGATTTTTATCCAGCTGCCCATTTCTTTTAGGAAGTAAGAAGGCTTAGAGAGCAAGGAGTAATAAAGAGGGCTATGTCTTAGCAAAACCTTCCTATTCATTTTAATCTTGTGTGTGAAGTTTGTTGTGTGCTCACCTTTAAATGCATGACCTTTCTGTTCCTGTAAAGCCAAATATCAAGCAGGAAGGCCTTGAGTTAACAGGAGGATACCAGAAGTGAGCTGGTTTGGTTCTAGGGGAAGTCTAGCATAAACTTATATCAAATAGAAATCTTCTTTGTTGCTAAAAATCTGTTTTCTTGCCCTAGGACAATTGAATGAATATAATTAAAATTTGAATTTGGAATTGTAGTTCCTGGGGATAGCCTTGGTCAACCTGTGTATTAAGATACCTGGTATGCAAGGGTTCTCTAGGCCAGCTACTGCCATGGCCAGGGAGAAGGAACCAGCCAGAGAGTGAATGGGATGAGGTAGCTATAGCCACAGGAATGTACACCCCCGTGCCCAAGGCCCTGGGTTCAATCCCAAGTGCCCCAAACAGGGTTGTTTTGGAACTCTTAAGTGCAGCGCAACCATGGTAACAGTCACGTGTCAGTGCTAACACACTGAGGCAGAGGAGTGCCCAGGATCCTAATGGGGTACGGTTGGTGGTGATTGAGAGATGGCTCAGTCCCACAGCTTCTAAATATCCCAATACTTCAAAGTCCGAGTTTTCTTCAAAGATCCAGCATCTCTGTAAAAGTTCAAAATCTCTCAACTGTGGGCGTCTGTAGGAAAAAATATAAAAAATTAGAGAAACACTTTCATCCTCCAGGAGGGAAGAACCAGGGTACAGCCACACAGAGGTCCAAGCAAAGCCACAGTGCAGCGGTGTGGAGTGCCGTCTCGGTTGTCTGGGACTCTCGTCCCCTGGGCCTGGGCGGCTCCATCCCCTGGTTCTCCACCCACAGCACCAGGGAGTCTAACAGGCTCAGGTGGCTTTCCTCCACAGCTGCTGCTGTCCTTGGTGTCATCCTGTGGTACTGGCACCTCCCAACTCCTCGGGTCTCTGTTGAGGCTGGCTTGCACTTTCACCAGTGCCCTCTGGGGCTCTTTTCAGGGACTCTGCCCCTGCCCCAGGGTGCCAAGTCTCAGTTTCTCTCCATGACCCTTCCAATCCCAGTCCTGGGGCTTTTACTGCAACAGAGGCTGCACCTTCACCAATGGCCGCTCCTGCCCGTCCTCTCACAGTGCTGAGCATCAGCTGCGGCCCTCGACCCTGTGGCTGTAGGACTAGCAGCACGTGGGAGACTCTTACACGTTACTAAGAAGCCAGCACGAGGTGCAGCCCTGGGCAGCTCTGGATTACAGCTTCTGTGTGCTGACCCTAAGGAAACTCTCTTAGGACATTTCCCCACAGTGGTGCTGGTCTCTTCTAAATCACGGCCGGTTGGCCTGCATGGATTGTCCCAGCAAAGCAAAGGTTTCACTTCAGCGGTGCTAGTCTCTTGTTACTCACAGCTGATTGTTCAACTCCAGTTTATTAGACACTATAGATTCTTTTTTTTTCTTTCTTTCTTTCTTTTTTTTTTGTTTTTTGTTTTTTGAGATGGGGTTTCTCTGTATTGTTTTGGAGGCTGTCCTGGAACTCGCTCTGTAGACCAGGCTGGCCTCGAACTCACAGAGATCTGCCTGCCTCTGCCTCCCGAGTGCTGGGATTAAAGGCGTGCGCCACCACCACCTGGCCGACACTATAGATTCTTAATTCCAAATATCACACGAATGTCCTGATAGACACCAATTCACTGTGAAACCTCACAAACCTGACTTCCATTGTCTGCATTGTTCTCAGCATTGTCCTCACAAGTTCCCACAACAGCTCATGGAGCACTGAGCCCTCAATGGCTTTTCCAGGCCAAAGTTCCCAAATCCTTTCCAATCCTCCTATAGCAACACAGTCATGTCTGTACCAGCGATAGTCCACTCTCTGCTACCTGTTTATGTCCGATTTAGGGTTACTACTGCTGTGATAACACACCATAACCAAAGGAAGGTTGGGGATGAATGGGCAGAGAGATTGGGCAGGGACACAAGGCACGCACTGAAGGGGGCATTGTGGAGGATGCTGCTTAATGCCTTGTCCCCCATGACTTGCTCAGTTTTCTTATTACTCTCCTGGACCACCTGCCCAAAGATGACCCTGACCCCAGTGACCCGAACCCTCCCACATCTACCAAGAAAATGCCCTGTAGACTTGCCTACAGGCCAGACTCGTGGGAACATTTTCTCAATTATGATTCTCCCTTCTCAGATACGTCCATGTTTATGTCAAGTTGAGAAAAGTCAAACAGCACACATGCCCCTTACTTGAAAAATAAATGATTATAAGCTCTCTGAGCACAGGGAGCATGTTTACCACATAACCAAGTAGGTACTCAACTCAATAAACATCTACATGAATGATTCACCGTCTGCCTCTCCGTACTGGGCATGGAACCCAAGGCCTTGTGCATGCTAGGCAACTGCTCTACCACTGAGCTATACCTCCAGCCATGTGGATGGTCCTCTTGATATGAAAGCAACTCGCCACTAGAAATAGACAAGCACTTTAGGTGATTAAAAGAAACGTCAGTGACATTCCCATTAAAGTGTGGTGTGAAACAGACACCCAGTTTTACCACCATCTGCCTAATATTACATCCTCAATTCTACCTAAGGAAAAAAATGCCAGAAAGAGTTTTTAACTATAAATCAATGACATCTACTACTTACTTGACATACAAATCACCTAAAAAATGTCAGAAGTAATATACACAAAACTTTACCCCAGTAGCTCCTTTCTCTGGTGTTAAAAACCACTATTTTTCTCAACCTAAAACAATACCCCATCTCTTCCAACATTTTAAGCCATTGGGGGCCCAAGAATCAGAGTGGCTCCTGCCATGAGGGATCCCCTGACTTGGTGGTATTCCTGCACATAAGTGTATCTATGTAGCTAAAAAGGAGCAATTTGCCAGAGAGGTGTATAGGTGTGTGTGACTCTTGGGTGGAGTCCAGATCATGAGCAAATAACTTTTTTTTTAAAGAAAAGGTCTATAGCGTGAATTTTGACACCTTCACATGGGCTGGCCACACTGCCACCTGGCAAGTTTCATTGTAAGTCCAGGAGCCTGTGGTTTAGGAGAGCATTAATCCTGTGAAATACTTACATAACCCTTTCATAAAGAAATGCCCGAAGAAATCTAATCTGCTCTAATATGATTACTCTGATAGATTTAGGTGGTTCAGTAGTTGGCCTACTATTAATTAAGAAATGCCTTCTTATTTTTAACTTGAACTTTTAAACTCCGATAAGACAATATGATTAATTAGAACACTTGAGTCTTAGCCTGAAATTGATGACCGGGCAGCATCAAGGGTTGTCACTCCCCTGTAATAATGGTTTTCCTGAGTTGAATGCTACACTCGAGGACTTACTAGTTCTCCCTGTGTCTCTTCAAGGACATAGGAAGCAGAGCTACTGTGTGACTGGTGGTCTCTGCTTGAAGGTTCTCTCTCTTCTTCCCATAAGCCATCTCTCCTGCCCACAGCCCCCCATTGCTGCCACTGAGTCCTTTTTTGTCTCATGAGGAAGGTTTGCCAAATTTATTTCAAACCTATGACTAAAACAATTCCTTCTTTTCTAGGATCGTAGAAATCTATAGTAGAAGACTACAAGGTAAATATTTACAATCCTTATCTACAGAAACATTTCCCCCACAGAACGAATAGTTTTACTCTGTTACAAACGTAACAATTTACAAAGGGCAGGAATGGAGCCCTGCGAGGGAGGCACGGACAGTCTGTTTAAGCCTGTGGAGGAAACCCTGCCACGCTTCTTATCCCTTCTGTGTTGGTGCATGTGCCAACGTTTTCAGGTCAGATTGTGCACATTTAAACAAACGTGGGCTCATCTGTGATTGGCTTCGTCCCCCCCCCATTTTCTTTTCACTTAACACACATTGAACAACCCCCACACCCCTGACCTTGTCACTTCTTTCTGTGGCTGTTTCAAATCCCATTGTGTGAACTAGTCACTAGCCAGTCTCTGCCCTGGTAGACATTTGGGGATTTTTTTTTTGGTCCGTTTTCCAACATTGGCATGGTTCTGAGGACACCTTCGTATGCATTCAAAGACAAGTTGTTTTTGTCAGCATTAGAAACTGAATTATTTAGGTTCCAGCATCAGTTTTCAACAGCCCAGCAGTTAGCTTCCGTGCTTACTCTGCTGCAAGGTAATTAATTCCTCACTCCACTCTGCATCTATGGAGATGATGCTTGTGAGTCAGGAGCTGGAGGCCGGCGTTTCCCCAGGACCTGAGTGCGAGTGAGGACACACACCAGGGACTTGTTTGAAACGTAGCAGGTAGAATAATCTTGGAGAAAGCTGGTGTGAGTTAGATGTTAAGTCCCACAGAGGTCTGCTTTGTAAAGATCACAAATTGTCCACAGGCCAAAAAAAAAAAAATCTTCCAGTTGTGTGTGTCTGGCTTTTAAACCTATCTCTCTGTCACACCCCACAGTTCAAGAGCGCCTCACCAAGCAAATCGCGGTGGCCATCACAGAAGCCTTGCAGCCTGCTGGTGTTGGAGTAGTAATCGAAGCAACGTAAGTCCAAGCCCCCTTTGAATGGTCTCAATAGTACCAACAGTGACCTCCGCCTTTAGTGCCGCTCTGCTTCTCCAGGACCAAGCAAGGACCGCTTGCTGCTCCTTCCTGCCTGCCTTCCTGCCCCACTGTGGTGCTGACCGAGGAGCCAGGGGGTAGGAAGGGGATTTTTGCGTTGCCTTTGATCTTATTTGAATCCTGTGCACGCGTGTGTGCTGGTGGTGTCTGTGGAAGCCTGAGGTAGTCACAGGTAGCTGTGAGCCCTCTGAAATGGGTCTTCGGAACCACACTTGGATCATTTGATGTTCTCTTAATCACTGAGCCATCGCCAGCCCCTGGTTTTTGTTTTTATCTCTCGTGAATACTGTTAGCTTTGGGGAGTCAGATGTATCACTGCAGAATTCTATGTGTGAAGTCAGTAGTATTTTTGTGTCTTGCCTTTCTCCTTAGCTTTTTTTGTGAGTGCACATTTGTCAAATAGAAAAAAAAAGCGAGAATTGGTACAAAGGGCAATCAAAAACATGGTTTTTAGAAAGCACAAATATTTTCTATTTTTCAATTTAAATGTTAACTGAAGTTTTGGTAAACAGGAAAACAATCCACTGATAATCTACAACACGGTGTTTTGATAGCTCTAAGACTGTTTGAGTGGGGGTTAACTGCCCCCTACTTCCCAGACATTCATCATTCCTCTATAAGTAAAAACATGCAAATGCTTCCTCCTGCCTTTTCAAATAATGCGAACAATGTTGTCATCCCTGCTCACCCCATGCTACAAGAGCAGGCCAGGATTTCTCACTGGATTTAGCTGTAACTCGGAGCCCATCTGCCCAGCTCCGTGCTTCCAGCCTCTGGGAAGCGCTGTTGTGTTCCAGGAGATAAATCCCTCAGATCCCACACTGGATCGCGCGCTTTCTGTGTCTGCCTTACTTCACTCCACACACTGATCCCCAGACATCCTTGAACTTGGAGGAGGTACGAGAATCACATGCATGGGTAGGCAGCTCTCCCCTGCTATGGCAGTCCTGGAGTGTAGGGAGAGACATACCTACCCGTAGTGCTGAACACACCCAGAGGGACCTGGGTGTGTCCTCTGCCTTTACCGTGTTGCTTAGCCATACTGACTGCCTCTATCCTCATTCTGCTGGCAACACCGTGTCCCAGAGAACCTCTCGGGATGCTGTCGTTGGCATGGTGCCATCATGGGCAAGCACGACTTCTGGATTTCTCTTGGTTTTAACACTTTTCATGTGTCTTCACCCAGGAAGAACATTAGGCTTTCCCCTTCCGGTAGGTTGCATCGAGGCCTAACCCCAAATAGGAATAAAAGCTGTAGGACATAAAATGAATCAAGGAAAGGTTTGGTGTTTTCCTAAGAAGGGGGGTTTGACGTGGTTAGTAACTGTTGAACTGGAATTAGTCTTTGCCCTGCTTTTTGTTTAACTGAGAACGAGGCAGCTCTGCCTGTGCCTTTGAACCGTGTCTGCTGACTTATTTCATAGACACATGTGCATGGTGATGCGAGGAGTGCAGAAAATGAACAGCAGGACCGTGACCAGCACCATGCTGGGGGTGTTTCGGGAAGACCCAAAGACTCGGGAGGAGTTCCTCACACTCATCAGGAGCTGAACTTCTGCGTGCGCGTGCCCTGGTTTGCAGACCCCACTGCTGCCGGGGTTACCCGTCTCAATCATGCATTCCAGTTTCAATTGTTACAGATGTGAACTTCATTTCTCATCATGAATTGTATTTAGTAATTATTTATAGATAAGTCAAATAAAAGTAATTGACCAAGGGGGGGGTGAGCCTTCCGCTTTCTTCTTGCCGCCTTCTTAGTGGCGATGTCTAAAGTAAACTGACCCCGCCGTTCAGATCCCCAGGTGCTGTCAAGGAGGAGAACTCATGCTGTGCTCGAAGTCATTGTTAGCGGAGGGCCCCGGACATTGGAGGAGCTGTGGCCACTGTGCTGGGTTCCCCGCTCCCAGTGGACATAGTGTAACTCCGAAGGAAGTGCTGGGGACAGTAGGTTACAGAGAGCATTGCTGTCTGCATTTGAGACCCCAGACCCCACTCTGTGTTGGTCTGCGAAATCGATCGCCAGTGACAACTGCTCAGTATGTTCATTGACTGTCTACCTGTAATGCGAGTCTCTGAGGGAAGGTGGGGGATGCCTGTCTTTAATTGTGCTGTGCCGTAGAAAGGCACCTTCTGTATTTTAGAGTCTGAGTAGAGGGAATTCATCCCTAGAGCTGCTTATGAGTTCATTTTCATGTCAGCGCACAAGGATGGAGAGGGTTGACTGTGCCTTGATGAGAACGTCGAGCCGTTTGGAGTGTAGGTACTTCTGCCACCTTTTAGGAAAAGTCATTACTTCATAAGTTTATAAGTGCCAGCTCTACAGGTGACTAGCCATTGCCGACTTCCTGTTAGAAGTTCTTGGAAGTTACTTTGTCTATTCCAAGGAGATGCTTCATAGCATTTCAAAAACTCTTAGGAAGTATTTTTCTAAGTATTTCCAGGATCTTTTGAAACCACCTATCCTGTGAGCCCTGCAGACTCCTATCTCCTCTAGACTGGGAGGGGCATGGAATGGGCTGAGGGAGACCTGCATGGTGGCTGTGCCCACAGCTCTGGGCCACGCCATACTGTTGCTGCTGGTGTCTGCAGATGCACTGGGGACGTTGGCCTAGTTTCTTTCTTGTCGGTGTGTGGCTTGGCTTATTACGACTCACTTTAAACACCCTGCACGGGGGCAGTGTGGGCCAGGTTAAAGCACAGTATGTAGCCCCCTGTGAGCACGTGTGCACACGCGTGCGCGCACGCACGCACCTGGTCCATGAAGAGGTCTCCCACTGGCTGACAATGCTCTCAATGGATCCCTGTTGTCCTGCCACTGCCACTTAGACACTCATTAGCCTATGGTGAAGCAAGATGATGGAGCTGACTTTTTATTTTATTACTATTACTTTTTGATCTCTGTCTTTCCCTGGCACTTTCTATATCTAGAATTTCTAAAGCACAGTCAGGTTGGTTTCGAGTTCCTTTTAAAATCTGACCTGATAACGATGTTAGCCCACTTGCTATTCAGACATTCCCAGGTAGAACACTAAGTACTCATGTTTGGTATTTTAAAGTAAAAACCAGTGTGACTTGACTCTGAGGGCCAAAGAAATTGTTTGCCATACCTTCATCTCTTTGGAGTGATCATTTGTATCCCCTCTGAGTAGCTCTGTTGGCTCATTCCCTAGAAGTTCTCAGCAAAAGCCTGACATGTCCACAGGCTAGTCTCGTCAGTACCTACAAGGTGACAACCTTGTCTGTTTCACTCTGTCTGTAGTGCTATCTGAGACACTGAGTCCATTTGGGGGTTTTTAAGAATTTGATGTATTTACATATACCTGTTCAATGACATGGTTTGGATTTTCTGTATGTGTATGTATGTTCCTGAAGTTGGTCTTATTTAAATGATTAAAAGTGTTATAATTTTGTTTCTGTGACTGTTTCTTTCTCAATCACCAGTGTAAGCCCAGTGTATCAATTCATTTGATTGTTTTGGTTTTGTTTGCCTAAAATACCCATCACAGAGGCTTTGTTCGTCAAGTAAAGTGTTAGAGTACAATCTCCACGATGACACAGTGTGAGACTCTGATAGTTCCTCTTTGGTGTATGACGGGAGTGGTACTAACTGCAGCCTCCCCGGGACAGACGCTGCTCCTGTGTGAGAAGCTGACAGGAAGGAAGGTGGCTTTGGGCAGGCCGTAGGAAAGGCCTGCTCTCTTCCTTAGGAGGGCTCTCCCTGGGGACGACCGGGAGTGAGATGCAAGGGGTTTTGCTGTTTGTTTCTGCTCTGTGAATGAGTCCAGGTGCCCTCTTCCTCAACGCCTTCTGTATTGCTCTCCCGGACAGTGGTTCCAGCCCTCGCTGGCTGGCTGTGTGTCTACGTTCCGGGCATTGGAGTGTCCCACTGATGCTTACGATATCCTGCAGATGCTGAGTGCTGAACCTGGCATTCTGAGGAAGGCATAACCCCAAGACAAAGTTCCAGGCGTCAGAACTGAAATGCCCAGCTAAACCCAATCTGTTGGTCCTGACATTTCTCTCTGAAGCATATACATGTCCTTGGTCACCCAGAATTGAAAGGAAAGCTTTCCAGAGGCAATGCATGCTTTAATCCCTGTGCTCAAGAGGCAGAGGCTGTGCATTTCCGTGACTCAAGGGCATCCAGGGCTACACAATAAAACCTTGTCTCAAACAAAAAACAAAACAAAACAAAAAAAAAACCAGAAAAAAAAGAAAACCCTAACAGCAACAGAACCAAATCAAGGCTTTCTACCAACCTATCGTGGCTGGCCCAGGTCCTTCATAGACAGGAGAGGAAGCCTTAGGTGATGAATTCAAGGGGAAGTGGATCCTAACTACCATATTTCTCCCAAAGAAACCTGGCTTGTTTTTATTATCATTGTGCAAAACATGCACAGCAGTAGAGATACTAGCATGGGAACCCCCACACACTTCTTACAGCTTCTGACATCTTGTCTAAACCTCTGGACCTGGATCTCCACCCCAACTTGACTGTTGTGAAACAATTCTTAGCACGGTTTCTCCCCCTCCCCCTCCCCTCCTCTTCCTCCTTCCTCCCTCCCTCCTTCCTTTCTTCTTCCTCTACCTCCTTATCCTTTTTCCTCTGGCCCTGCCCTTTTGAAACAGGCTTCAGTCTTAAAAGGCCTGCCACATGGCTTCTTTAGCTTCTTTAGGGGGGTTGCTTGGCCGCCAAGATTTTGGTTAAGGTGGAAGGTTGTGCTGGAACCGGAAATAATGAAGCCTACAGGACTTTGCATCTCTTCTAGGACTTTCCCTAGGAACTCCAAGAACTAGCTTGGGCTGTAGGAGTACTTGGATTTCTCCACCCTTGTCTTCAGTTCCATTTTGGTTACCCTCTGAGCAGGAAAATCTGTCTTTGGCTGGGGTGGAGTGCGAGGATAGTGACACTTTAGGTCTTGTACCTCTGTCTGTCTGCTTCCTTCCTCCCCCTCCCTCTCCTCCTCTCCCTCTCCCTACACACACACACACACACACACACACACACACGCACGCACACACACACACACACACACACACACACACACACACACACACACACACTGCAGCCTAAAACAATTCTGAGGATTGAACCCAGGGCCTCTTACGTTCCAGGCAAGCAAGCACTGATCTCCAGCCCAGGCCTGCAGCAGGCTCTTCCCTTGTCTCCCTCACAGAGCAGCAACTCCCTGTGAGTCCTGGTGGGGTCAGCCTCTAAGTTGCCTGTGGCCGTCCTAATGGTCTGCTCTCCTCTCTACATTCTACTGCTTGTTCTGTACACAGCTCTGACCTCTTAGGAAAGCCTTAGCTTTGGAACTGACCCTGGCCAGAGAAGCAGGGTTTGATGGTTGATGAACACCTGGAGGGTTCACTGAGTGATCCTGCGGGGGGGTTCACTGAGTGATCCTGCGGGGGGGGTCACTGAGTGATCCTGTGGGGGGGGTTGACTGAGTGATCCTGTGGGGGGGTTCACTGAGTGATCCTGCGGGGGGGTTCACTGAGTGATCCTGCGGGGGGTTCACTGAGTGATCCTGGGGAGGTTGACTGAGTGATCCTGTGGGGGGTTGACTGAGTGATCCTGCGGGGAGGTTCACTGAGTGATCCTGCGGGGGGGTTCACTGAGTGATCCTGGGGGAGGTTGACTGAGTGATCCTGTGGGGGGTTGACTGAGTGATCCTGTGGGGGGGTTGACTGAGTGATCCTGTGGGGGGGTTGACTGAGTGATCCTGTGGGGGGGTTGACGACTGAGTGATCCTGTGGGGGGGTTCACTGAGTGATCCTGTGGGGGGGTTGACGACTGAGTGATCCTGTGGGGGGGTTGACGACTGAGTGATCCTGTGGGGGGTTGACGACTGAGTGATCCTGTGGGGGGTGCCTGGGCTGGTGAAAACTTCCAGGGGTTGTTGACTATTGGTTTCTGACTTGAGGAGGTGGGATTCTTCCTTTCCTGCCCTTTGCTGGGTCTTCACACTTGAAAACACTCTGAACAGGTAGACAAATAACACATGTTTATGATTTGTGTTTGTAGTTTTTCTACATATGTGGTGATGCTAGGGTGTTTGTTTTATAGCCTCTTCTGTCTTGACTGTAAATTTCTTTCTTTCTTTCTTTCTTTCTTTCTTTTGGTTTTTCGAGACAGGGTTTTTCTGTGGCTTTGGAGGCTGTCCTGGAACTCGCTCTGTAGACCAGGCTGGTCTCGAACTCACAGAGATCTGCCTGCCTCTGCCTCCCGAGTGCTGGGATTAAAGGAGTGCGCCACCAAGGCCCGACTGACTGTAAATTTCTTTGTGGAGGATTTTTCATTTGTTTGCTTTTCTCTTGAAGGGCTTTCTACTCACAGAACAGAGAGCACCCTGAGCAGCGTGGAGGAAAACTGGGGCAGGGGATATACTGTGTGAGTACAGTGCTTGCTGTGTGAGTGTGAGCATCTAAGTTTACACCATCACCAATCTAAAAGTCAGGCACAGGAGCACACCTTGTAACCCCAGAGCTTGCTGGGTAGCCAGTCCTGCTGAGCCTCAAGTTCACTAAGAGACCGTCTCCAAATCAAGGTGAAATGTGATTGAGGAAGACACCTGACATTGACCTCTGACCTTGGCATATAAGCAAGCATGTGAACCTGTGTGTTTATACACCACACACACACATCTCACACACACATATACACCATACACACACATTTCACACACATATACACAGACACCACACACACTGCACATATACACCACTCACACACAGACATACACACACACATCTCACACACATACACCATACACACACACACACACCACACACCACTCACACACAGACATACACACACACATATACACCATATACACACACCATACACAGACACCACACACACCACACATACACACCACTCACACACACACAAATTTACACCATACATACACACACCATACACAGACACCACACACCACACACACACCACTCACATACACACACATATACACCATACATAAACACACACACACACCATACACAGACACCACACACACCACACATACACACCACTCACATACACACACATACATACACACACCCCATACACAGATACCACACATACACACACACACACACACACACACACACACACACACACACTGCAGCTTAAAACAATTCTGAGTGGCAGGGCCTCCAGAGTTCTTTTCTGCCAGTCATTTGGGAAGCTTCCTTAACTAACCAAGGGCAGCTAATCCTGGATGAAATTTCCTCACTAGCCTGGGCTCTGGCTTTCTGAACATTGATGTGTGTACAAGCCCAGAGCACGGGCATACAAAGTCCTCATCCGAGGCTCATCTGACTGCCTCTTCCCAGATGTCCAAGGCATTTTCTTCCTGAACGGAAAGAGGAGAATGACTTCTGTGATGGTGTTGACTATCCAAGCAGAATTTCTGTATTAGTTTAATACTGAAAAATAATTATAGGCTGGGTGATATATATCTATATACATATATATATATATATAGATATATATGAGATACAGAACTCTGGAATCAGATCAGAGATATTATACATCATTTAGGGTCAGCCTGGGCTGTATGGTGACAGCCCCTCTGTCAAAATGTTAAAAAAAAGTGCATTACCTTGTAGTTCCATCTAGTCTGAATTAAATGCTCAAACTGCCCTAAAATTACTTTTAATAGGCGTTCTTGTGCCTAGCATAAAGTTTAGATAACAAAACATCCCAACGGTGGCATGTGTAACTCTAGAGTCGGGAGTGGCTTCTGTACGTGTCAGAATGTTAAGTTCTTCTGATTATTTTTATGAAGTTCTTTTAAAGTTAGTGGACGCTGTGCCAGGCGGTGGTGGCACACACCTTTGAACCCGGCACTCGAGGGGCAGAGGCAGGCAGATCTTTGTGAGTTCAAGACCAACCTGCTCTACAAAGCTACACAGAGAAATCCTGTCTCAAAAAACCAAAATAAATAAATAAATGAAGAATAATGAAGTTAGTGGATGCTAACTGTGAAAAATGGAAAAGCAAAAATATCTGCATTAAAAAAGTGTGCCACTTTGCAGAGCGTTTAACACCCTGGCCTAAGAAAATGAGGGCCTGGGAGCTGCGGGCCAAGGCAGAACCTCCTGAAATCTGGTTTCCTTTAGCCTTCGCTTCCTTAGGTCTGGTAACACACACTGGCACAAAGCTCTGAGAGACCCAACAGATAAAGAAAAAGTCTCCCCTCCCTCTCTTCCTTCCTTACCCCCCCCATTTTCTTATGTATTCCTTCAAAAGGGTCTCAAGCATATCCATACACATTTATTTATATCAGGGTTTCTCAGACACATGTGCCTCCCCCAAACCACCCAGGAAACTTTGTCAGTGCGTACGCCTGCACCCTATGGAGAGCTACTCAGTGTCCTATAATTGTGTTTTGGGAGAAAAAAA